AACTTGAAAGCCATTTTATTTCCAGGATTCAATGTACTTTCGCAAATCTATAAATTCAGTACATTTCCAATGAAAATGGTAAAAAGTCAGTGCATCTTAAAGCACAAATGGAGAGTGGGGGATGCACCTGAGTTCGATTCCCAGCACCATGAAAAAAAAAAAAAAAAAAAAAAAAAACAAAGGCAAAATATTACAAAGTGAGGGAAAATAAATGTTTTATTAGCTGCTGAGACTGTTTCAAGTTCTGGTACTTTAAAGATTATAAGGCCGGTGAGATACCACAGTGGACTAAACACCTGCGTTTCCCACACCACATGCCACGCTGGCCCTGCCCCAGGGCATGGTGACACACACCTGTAATCCCAGCACTGGGGAGATTGAAAACAGGAGGATCAGAGTTGGAGCTGCATGTCGAGACATTCTACCAAATACATTAAAAAAAATTAAAAGCTGGGGAGATGGCTCAGTAAAATAAGTGCTTGCCTGGCAAGTACAAGGGCCTGAGTTCAAACAATCCCCAGTACTGCAAAAAATAATTAAAAATAAATAAATAAATAAATAAACAATACTAGGGGCCAGGGATATAGCTCAGCCGCACAGTGCCTGCCTGGCTAGTACGAGGTCCTGAGTTCAATTCCCAGTACAGAAAAAGAAAAAAAGAATAAGATTATAATACCGATGTGAAGAGTGAAACATAACTAAAGAAAACCAGAAGTGAATCGAGAGCTATGTATTTATAAAAATATGGTATATTTACAGTACAATTATAATCACTTGGAAAAGAATGATCAATAAAATGGTTAATAGTGAAATGGCTTTTAAAGATTTATCACTTACGAAATTTTAAAAACTGACAATGCTGAAAGCTTTTTTTTTTTTTTTTTCTGAGAGCTATTATGTAATGAAAATATTAGCCTAGTAGCTACAGGTGTAGCTCAGTGGAAGAGTGCTTGGATCCTTCTACCTCAGTCTCCCCAGTGCTGGAACTACAGGTGTGCACCATACATAGCTCTTTAAAATTTAACAGCCAGGCATGGCGACAAATACTTGTGATTCTACCACTGAGAGGCTGAGGCAGGAGGACTGCCATGACTTTCATGTCAGCCTGAGCTGCACAGTGAGTTCAAAGCCAGCCTGAACTACAAAGTGACACCCTATCTCAGAAAATAAAAAGGTGCTTCAAGTATAATTACTTTAGATCATTCATGGAAGGAACAAGCATGAAGAGAACACATGTTTATACTTCCACAGAGTTAATGCAAGGCATAGGAGGGACAACAATATCATGCGGGATTGTCTATAGACATTGAAACCACACTCACGTAATGTTTATCTGGGTTGTATTTCTTATGGTATGTGAAAACAGAGACTTCCTTAATCCGACCATCTTGTCTAAAGGAGTATGTTTTGGGTGAAAATGAAAGGATGGGCTCATCATTAGAAGGAAGACCAGAAAAACGCAGCTGAGCAAGGTTGTGAATGAAAAAGTTAAATTTTGTGGCAATGCTTCCCAAACTGGATTCAATCAACCTACAAAACAATTAGAATGTTTGTTAATAATGTATCACAGGGGCACATACAAGTCTCTCAATATAACAAAGGATAAAAATCACATTCGAACCATGGTTCCTGTGCTTGCCTAAGCAGGCGCTTTAGTCCCCTGAGCTATCTCACTGGCCCCTTCCTTTGTTCTTTAGGCCAAAGACCTGTTAAAATATATCTCATCCCCCCAATTTTATTTATTTATTTATTTATTTATTTATTTATTTATTTGCGGAACCGGGGATTGAACTCAGGCCCTTGTGCTTTTCAGGCAAGCACTTATTCTACTGAGCTATCTCCCCGGCCCTTCATCCCCCAGAATTTTAGCAGAATAAAGAAATGATGCTCAGTTTTCTTCAGTACTGTGAAGTCCAATACCAATGAAAGCTATTAGGGTAGAAGATGACTGAAAAAATGTGCAAAAGGTGACTTGATTATCTTACTATGAAAATCCAAGCTTGGAGCTGTGGTACATGCCTGTAATCCCAGCACTCTGGGAGGCTAAAGCAGGAGACTCACAAGTTCAAGTCCCACCTGGACAACCAAGTGAGATTATGTTTCAACATATACAACTGGGTAAGGTGGCACATGCCTGTAAACCCATAATCCCAGGTCTCAGGATCCTGAAGCAGGGGGATTGTTGCAAATTCAAGGCCAACCGGGGTTTTGGTTAGTTTAGGGGCAGTCAGAACTATACAGCAGGACTCTGTCTCAAAAAGCCAAAACCATGGGCTGGGGAGATAGCTGCCTGGAAGCCAAGGTCCTGAGGTTGATCCTCAGTACAACATGCTTTGCCAGTTCTGGAACCCTGAGTGTGCCATGGCAAACCTGAGCATGGTGGCACATGATGCCTGCAGTCCCAGTGCTGGGAAGACTGAGACGGGAGGATCATTAGAGTCTGAACTGCTCCAAACCCTGTACCAAAAACAAAACCCCCAACAACATATTGCATATATATATAGCTCCTGTCCGAGAGAGGGATAGAAGGGGGGTCCAAGCGGGTTGTCCGCAGTCCAGCCCCTGACACCAAATTCTTAACATTGTACTTTTTCTTTTTTTTTTTTGGGTTGACTCAGCCCACTCTGAGGCAGGGCTGGCATGCCACGTGGTGCTGGGGATTGAACTGCAGTCCCTGTGCACTTGCCTAAGCAGGCGCTTTAGACCACTGAGCTATCTTGCTGGCCCTATACTTTTTGTTTTTTGAGATAGGGTCTTCCCATATACTTTAGACTGGCCTTGAACTCACTGCTGTACCCTAGACTGGCCTCAAAACTGCAGTCCTAGGGCCGGGGAGATGGCTCAGTGGAATAAGCGCTTCCCTGGCAAGCTCAAGGACCTGAGTTCAATCCCCGGTTCCGAAAAAAAAAAAAAAGGAAGAAAGAAAAAGAGAATTTGATGTCAGAAGAAGATGCATTCAGAAAGATAGTAAAAGAATCCCAAACACAGGTAGTTGGCTTTGTCATGGCACTAAATGTTTGTATTCCCAGCAATTCTTATGTTGAAACCCAATCCCCAATGTGAATTTATTTACAGATGGGGCCTTTAAAGAATTAAGGTTAAATGAGATCATAAGGGTGGAACTTAGATCTATTAAGTGTCCTTATAAAAGACAAAGAGTTCTTCTCCATACATTATGAGGACACCACAAGAAGGCAGCCACCTAACAGTAGAGGGAGGGAGCCCAAATTATGTACTTGATCTTGTACTTCCAGCATTTAGGACTGAGAAAAAAAAAATTCTGTGGGTTAACCCAAAAGGCTACAGCATTCTGTTAGGAAAGTCCAAATGGACAAATGCACACCTGCTCTTGTTTTACCCAGGGGAGTAAACCAATCTGTCTCTAAAAAAACAAACAACAAACAAAAACAAATCACCTAAATTGTCAAGATTAGTTTGGAAGACTTTGCAAAAGTCAGCTTCCTTCAATTCATTTTGGCCCTACCTGCTAAGACTAGGACAGTCTAGTGCAGTGACTTTTTTTTCAATGAGCAGAATATATTTATTGAGCAAAAGAAAGCTCCTGTCTGAGAAAGGGATAGAAGGGGGGTCCAAGCGGGTTCTCCCCAGTCCAGTGATTTTGACGACTGGCAAAATGCAAGGAAAAAAGGAGAAGAAAAAAAAGTGAGCTCACGTGCCCCTTCCAGTTGTAGTGTTATGATGTCGTGGCAGCAGCAGTCTGTGACCAACCTGGTCACCAGATTTTAAGAACTCTTTGCCAGGAAGATCTGCTTTTAAATATTGATAAATCGAAGTGCCAACATTGGCATATGTGTTTTAACTACCATGTCATCTAGTAACTATAGTAGTGTCCTATAACTTGCTATTTTAACTACTTAAACCATCCATGGAAATTACTGTCGTATAATCCTGAAAAACAGATTAGCACAGAAATCTGAGACAGTGTTTTGCTATGTAGTTCAACCTGGCCTTGAAATTACTACATAGCTCAGTCTGCTCTTGAACATGTGACTGTCTTCAAGCCTCAGCCTCCCAAATGCTGGAATTATATGTATGAGCAACCGTACCCAGCAATCCTTGACATTTATTCAGTAAATAACTTACTTCTTGCAGTGTCTAGGAATGAACTCAGGGCTCCCACATGACAGGCAAGCATCCCATCACTGAGCTACTTCCTCAGCCCAACACTTTAGTCTTAAGATTTACTAACATTGTGAATTACAGTTTTTTCCCTCTCAATCTGACTTTTTGTAAATAGTTTTTGTCTAAACTAAGGTAAAAGAGATCAAAGCCAAATTGTATATGCCCTCAACAATATACTTAGATATGCCATACCTAGTAAAGAAAATTGTAGCTTCTGCATCTGTAGTCTGGGGCTGGAGTGCATCTCTAACATATTTCAAGTCTTGAATACTTGTAAGTTCTGGTAATCCTGAAGGAATCATCTGTAGAAAAAAAAAAAGTTTGTGAGTTAAATTTTCTTCTGGTTAAGTAACTAGAATTAAAATAAATAAAACTAATCACTGTTTTTGAGATGTTGGTCTTTTGAGAATCTAGGTCCTCATCTTACAGATGAAAAATGGAGGCTAAGAAAGTCAAATGACTTGTTCAAAATCATAAAAGCTTTGAAATCCGAACCTGTTTTTATCCAGGACTGTTTTTATTACCGTATCAATTTCAGTCACAAAAGTTATAATAGGGTTTATGATTTTAATTTTGTTCTTTTAAAATTTTTATATTTAAGTGAATATATATCCCAAAAGTGTATAAATTCTAAGTGTACAGCTAATGAATGTTCACAATCTGAACATACCCAGGTTCAGACACAAAATATTCACTAGCAGGGCGGGCCAGAGAGCTCAGCAGAGACACAGGGGCCAGGGTTCTTTCCTCAGCATGCTGTGCCGCCCCCGCCCCCAGGGCATGCTAAAATGGGATTGAGACTGGGTGTGATAGCACGTGCCCATAATCCCAGCATTTGGAAGGCCAAAAACAGGAGGATCACTATGAGTCTGATTTGTAGTGAGACCCTGTAGTAAATATTAAAAAACCCTAAAAGAAGACAAAACAAAAACAATTCACCAGCATCCCTAGACACCCCTCTTGAGCATCAACTATTACTGTTCCTCAACCTCCAGTGTCACTACTTTCCCTTTAATAAATGGAGTTTGTACTTTAACTTTACTAATATAGGTGACATTAGCGGCTACAGTAAATTTTATTCTAAAATCACTAAGTACTTTTTAGGTATTCACACATGTATACTAATATAAAATTAATCAAATGGTTGTAAAGAACAGTTACCAGTGAAAGGAGGTTAAGAAACAGGTTTGCTTGCTTTCTTATCAAGTTGTAAGCCTGACAGCAGAGGTCCACGAACAACTGGAAACGAATAGTGGGCTTTTCACCCCCGTTAATGACATATGCCATATCAGAGGTAAGCACAAAAGGAGCCCGGTCCCTGTTTAAAATGAAAGTACACATAAAACATTACTAACAAAAGGTATTCAAATATTTTATACTCATGCAGGGTTATACAAATGGAAAATAATTCTAAGAAATACTCCAAACTAGATATGACAATTCCTTTCAACAAAGTTTAAACATGAACTCATTCTGTCTACTAGTGTAAAATCACCTCTTCAGGCATTTTTATCCCCAGTTATGTTAACAGGGAGCCATATAACGAAGAGCAAGAAGGGCAAGGTTTGGGACATTAATCTGTGAAATGAGACAGGTCTCATTTCTTTAGCAACAGTGAAAGAATATTATTAGTACCTTTTAAAGCTACCAAACATCTGTGCATGGCCCAAAAACTTTCCAAAGTCAATGTGGAACATGTGTCCTGTACTTCGAAGCATTATATTGTCATTGTGTCGATCACAAATGCCTAAAACATAGGTGGCTACACAGCACCCGGCACAAGAATAGATAAAATTCTCTGAAGCCTGTAATAAAAATATGAAATTATTTTAGGAAAGGAATTATTCTGGAAGGGGACAAGATTTACAAAGATTAACGTATCACTTTTAAAACACTGTCATAATGTACTCTCAATGGTATATAAACTGTTATAAGTAATAAAAACCAGCCATTCGTATTTCAACAATACTCTTCTTAAAGTAACTAAGAGACCTGCTAACCTAGCTACCTTCTCATACCCTCCTTCAGAGGAACTGTATTTCCTTAGCCACTCAGCCAGTGGCTCTCCCAAGGCCCCTTGCTCTCCAACATTTTCTTTCACCAGTTAAGGATCCTCTCAGTTCCTACTTAAGAGTATGCACTGCCTCTGAACAGCCTTTAAGCATCACATTTGTGAGATTCCTGTTCCTCGCATACTTCGCTGCTTACCACATGGAATTAGGCTACAAAAAAGATGTTTACAATGAATGTTTTCCTCTGAAGCATGTACATTTAGTTTATTTTCAGTATTTTGCATTACCTCTTCCCTTTTCTTTGGGTGACAGTACTAGGGACTGAATCTAGGTCCTTTACACTAAGCTATATTCCCAGCCTTTGAAGAAATGTTTTTAAATTTTTTTGAGACAGGGTCCCTACTAAGTCATTCAACTGCCCAGGCTAGGCTGAAACTATTGAGACTCTTATTGTTCCAGCCTGCAAAGTGCTCAATTACAGGTACGTACACTTACTATGTCTGGCTCATACTATGCTTTTGAGTAGTGCAGTCATGTAACTGTTTGCCCATATGGTTAATTTCATTCCATAACCCTCCAGAAATTATTACAAAAGATAATAGCAGATTTTTTATAGAGCCCTTATTGCAAATCAGGCATACTCCTTCCCACATTTATCCCTGTATATATATAATGTGCTATATATTAACTCATGACTAATCTCACAACAAATCAATGACTTAAGTAACTATTATTTTTGACACCTAACAGATAAGGGAAACTGAAACAGAGAGGTTCTTTGCCATGATCACAAAACTGTCAGATGGCAGAGCCAAGAACGAAATTCAGTCAGTTTGATTCCACTGTATTTCTTGTTCAGTAAAAAAAGCTAAAAGCATAAGAGGTACTTAACATAAGCTACTTAACAACTGTTTTGTGTCATACAACTCACTAAAAAAAACCACAAGCCAGCATTACTATAAGCAGGTATTGGCTACTGCTGCACTGTTTTCCCCATTCTACAAAGAAATAAGAAAAAGCATTGACCTTACTGTCTAAAAGATCCACAAAGAACAAAATTCCTGTGCTTTATCTTCACAACTCAACAATGGCACTTATATGTTTATAAAAGATACAATAATGATACAGAAAGTTGATAGGTAAATGACAATGAAAACTTACATCACCATTCAAAGTGCTTGTGAATTTTCCTTAAGGCAAGCTAGGATCATGACAGACCTGTGTACTAAAAGGCTGCCATTTTCTCCTATGTAATTCAAAATAAAACTAAAATAAATACAAAAGTTGATGTTTCCAGTAAGAAATACATCAATGATATACTTTACTCAATGCTGTGAGCTTTCTATATACTGTAAACAGACACTCATTTAATTCCTTACAATTTACTAACCCTGTACGGTCATTTTTACAGTCACAGTGTATACTATAATACCATAATGTAAACTATTGCATTTTATAGCAGTGGTCACTGAGGCACATAGAGGTTAAAAAGTCTTCCCTAGGCCCTGTAGTTGGTAAGTGAGTTGAGGGCCAAGCTCAAGGCTAGACAGCCAGGCCCATAATCTATTCCTTTAAATAAATGATGTAGCTCTTACTCAGTGTCATAACTTCTTCCAAGATACTTGGAAAATACAACATTCTGGATTATAAAAATATTTCTTTTGCTGGTCTCTAATGATGTGTTTGGAATATTCTGGGGGTAATGTAACATTAGTTTCACTCATATTCTTGACATTAGATGGATTCTGTCTTATGTATTTTTTCTATATAGAGAAAGACACTATTTTCTTGACAACTATTTACTTAATTACCAGAACTAGCCAATCAATGCACTTAAAAATGTTGTAACACATTTTCCACAGTTATTTAGAATAAAGAGACCTGCTAACCACCTTCTCATACTCTTCTTCAGAGGGATTGTATTTCCTCAGCCACTCAGCAAGTGGTTTATCTTTAAAGGATCCAGTCACACCATATTCCACTTGGATTTTCCTGAGAGTATCTGAAGCAGGAACTAGCTCCACCATGCCTTTAACGATAAAACAGTAAGCCATGTAAAAATATCTCCCCAAAGTAGGCTTTAAAAAGAATAGCACCTTTCAATCCTCACTTCCATGTCTAATCCTGGGGATTAAACACACAGGCACTGTACCCCTAAGCCCCAGCCATTTTTCACACTCTGAGATTAGGTCTTGAGTTACCCTGCCTGGTTTCAAGTGTACAATTCTCTGCCTTCAGTCTTCCAAGTGTCAGGGATTATAAGTGTGTGCCACCCATACTCAGCAACTTTCAGTGTCTGACATAAGACATCATATAACAGTTCTCATTTTCCAAAAAATCATGTCTGGCATACTATACTAGACAATGTGGGTAATGGAAATTATTTTTTTCTTTTTGAAAGTACTCAACATGCAACAGCTGCTTCTTATTGATACTGGGAATCAAACTCAGGACCATGTGCACAAAAGTTTTTTTTGACTATATGTGTGAGGTCTAATCCAAAAGGGGAATCTTGGGCAATGCTGAAGACTGAGTCTAGGGCCTTTACATTGAGCTACATTCCCAGCCCCCTGACCCAAGAAAAAGGGCTCAAACTTTAGATCCTCCTGCCCAGCCTCAGAGTGCCAGATTATACATGTGTATCACCATGCCTACCTAGTAATTTCAATTGTAAACTAAATGATACTGACCTTGATGATTGTTACGGTTTTTGTCTAGATGTCCCCCAAAGCCTCATGCAGCCAAGGGTGTTGGCTTCTAGAGTTTGTGACTGATTCATGGTCCAATGCTGGGATGGGTCTACACCTGCCCTACAGTGGGCAACAGTGCATACAATATAAGGGAGAGAAAAAGGCTTGTGCCACACCCCCCACTTTGTCCCTTCTGCTCTTGTTGTTTTTGTCTTTTGCAGCCATGAACTGCTGCCACTTTGCCATGCTACCCTGCCTTGGAGCCAGCTGAGTATGGACTGAAACCTCCACAAACTGTGAGCTAAATGAATTTTTTCTTTCTTAATTTTGGGCATCAGGTATTTCTGTCTCAGCAACAAAAGAGAAGTAACTAAGACAATGGTAAAGTTACTTATTATATACAGTGTGCCATTTCAGTAAGAAAAACTGTCTCTAGTAATATATTTGCATAAGATCACATTAAACCCCTCCCATTTTATTTTGGCAGAACTGGGGATTGAACTCAGGCCCTTGCGCTTGCCAGGGAAGCACTTATTCTACTGAGCCATCTCTCCGGCCCCAAGATCACATTAAACCCTTTTGATAAGATAAACACATGAAGATGGTCTTTGTGACACATATAAATTTGTGCTTTATCTGCCTATAAATGGAATGTTAAGCCAGGCCTGGTGGTGCACAGCTGTAATCTCAGTACTCAGGGGGCTGAGGCAGGTGGAATGCTACAGTTTACTGCTAGCTATTCAGGAGGCTAAAGAGGATTGCAAATTTGAGGCCACTGTGGGCAACTTAGCAAGAACCTATTTCAAAATTTAAAGAGGAGGGCTGGTGAGATGGCTCAGTGGTCTAAAGCACCTACTTAGAACAAGCTTAGCAAAGCACAGGGACCGCGGTTC